GGTGACTTGCTTTAGGTGTGGTGAAAAAGGCCACTATTCGAGAGATTGTCTTGCAGAAAGAGAAACACCAGTTCCCCATGGAGAAAAACCTACTCAACCCAACAGGACCGCAAAACGTGAAACCGAGACACACTACGGTGGAGTTAACGACGTTTATAACGAAAGAGAAATATACACTATCGATGATAGGTACCAACCTTATAATAAAGAAAATAGGGAGTGTACTCAACCTAACTCAGAATCGCAATAGGAAGGGCGGTTAAAAAACAAGAAAACGGTCAATATCCAACCTAGAGAATTTGAAGAAACCTACCCTCTAGTTGATGATGATGACCTAATGCAAGATAATGACTTACTTACTCCGGCATGAGCCCCGAGAAGAAAAAGAGGCCCTTCAATAGTAGATTTAATCGTTGCTTACAATGTTGCTGATGATATTCTTAACACACATGTCAATGCAACAGTAGGACAATTGCTTCATTAACTAAATCAAAGAAGAAACTTGGCAAAAGTTCTTCAAAGACTATTAATAATGGAGGAAACAAATTACATAGACGAAGAAGAAAAAAGAACCACTGCTGCGAGGTGTAATGTAAGAATCCGAAATAACCCGGTTGTTGCGATTTTAGACTCAGGTGCCGCAGCAAGCTTTATAACGAAGAAACTAATAAATAAGCTTGGCTTTAAAATAGAGGAAAGTTCCACTACAGTTATAGTAACTGCCACTGGAGTAAGAAATAGAACTTTGGGAAAAATCAAAAATGTAAAAATCATGGTTCAAGACTTAGCTATTCCAAGCCCACTTAAAGTAATCGAGTCAGTAGATGAGACTCTCTTGTTGGGTAATGATTGGTTCAAAAAAGTAAGAGCCCGTATATACTTTGACAAACAAAAATTGATCCTAAGATATTTAGGAAGAGTTGTTGAGGTGCCCATCACTAATAGCGGACCAAGAAAGTTGTTAAATGAGAAAATGGAAGACCTCGAAGATCCCTTAAATAATGATGATGATCTGTTCAATCAATTGGTCTACGAAAATGAAGAAGTTGAAGAAACCAACAGATATTTTACAGAAGAAATGTTGAGTGAAAAAGAAGATTCGGAATTGTACATTAACTCCTGGCAAGATGCTCAAAGCCCTGCTGCGTATTTGTCTCATGTAGAAGAATTACCCACTGCGTCATTAGATGAAGAGAAATCTATCGAAGAAAAAATTGAAAAAATGGAAGTTAGTGAGGAGTTGGATGATGAGCAACAAAAAGAGGCAAAAGATTTAATAAAGAAGGAAAAAGGAATCTTTGTCCGAAACGTTGAAGAACTTGGACGTACCGAAAGAACTAACCACGTGATCGACACGGGTGACGCTGCACCCATAAAACAAAACGCGTATAGGACCGCCCCCCAGCATTAAAGAATTTATTAAAAAAGAAATAACCCAATTAAAAAAAAAGAGGGTTAATTCGTGAGTCACAGAGTCCTTGGTCTTCCCCGTCATGGTAGTGCCCAAAAAGGGTGAAAAGTTGCGATTATGCATCGATTACCACAAATTAAACGCAGTTACAAAAAAGGACTCTTACCCTCTCTCCCGTGTGGATGATCTCTTGGAAACTTTCTCTAAAGCAAGATGGTTCAGTTCTTTGGATTTATTAAGTGGTTACTGGCAATTACCAGTAAATGAAAAGGATAAAGAAAAAACGGCATTTGTTACCTCTTGTGGAACCTATGAATTTAATGTTATGCCTTTCGGGCTGTGTAATGCCCCTGCCAGTTTTCAAAGGCTAATGGATAAGATATTAGCCAATTATATTGGAAGATTTGTCGTAGTGTATCTTGACAACATAAATATTTATTCTGAAAATTTTTATAAGCACCTAAATCATATTAGTATAGTTTTTAAGAAGCTAAAGGAGTCTGAGTTAAAATTAAATTTTGATAAATGTACCTTTTTTCGCAGTAATATTCACTTCCTTGGTCACGTCGTTGGAAGAGATGGAATCAAACCCGACGAATCGAAAATCGAGAAAGTAAAAAATTTTTCGATCCCAAAAACTCTACAACAACTCCGGGGATTTATTGGGTTGGCGTCGTACTATCGATGATTTATTAAAGACTTCGCTACCATTGCCCACCCACTACATTATTTACTAAAAAAGAACTGTGAGTACAAATGGGATAACGATCAAAATTACGCATTTGAATCACTTAAACGTCACCTTATTATGGCTCCCATCCTACAGTATCACGATTTTTCTAAGACCTTCTTTATTCACACCGACGCTTCGGGTTCCGAACTTGGTGCAGTGCTTTCGCAGAAAGATGATAACAGTAAAGAATTTGTTGTGTCGTACGCCAGCAGAGGATTAACTGTATACGAAAAAAATTATGCCGCAACCAAGTTGGAATGTCTGGCCATTTTGTGGGCAGTGGAACACTTCCACCATTATTACGGCCTAAACCCTTTTGTAGTTATTACTGATCATAGTGCATTAAAATGGCTAAAAACTTCGAAACTTACCAGACGACGTGCAAGGTAGATGCTCCATTTGCAACCTTATAACTTTACTATTCATCATAGGAAAGGACGTAAACATAGTAACGCTGACGCGTTATCCCAAATTTAAAACACTATCTGAAAGACAAATTATGTGAAAAGACACCAAAAAAAAAAAAAAAAAAAAAAAAAACATTGCTAATTTCCTTAAATCCGAGATACAGAATCCAGCCCAGATTCCGGTGTCCTGGCAAACCTAATAAAATAAAGTTTTATTCAAAAAAAAAAAAAAAGAAAAGAAAATGGAGCCCACTCACTACAACCACCTCAAGACTTACTTGCAAACTCGAAGGTTACCTTCAAATCTTGACGACGTCCAAAGACAAAGACTACAAAAGAAAAGCAAATTTTATACTTATCAAAACGGAATTATCTACAAGCGCGATAGAAGAAAGAAGGGTCATCTGTTGCACGTGATTCAAAAACACGAATTGGAGCTGATATTATTTTTAACCCACCAGCATCCTCTTAGCGGACATTTCAATAAAGATATAATGTTTGACAAAATAAGGAACCTATACTTCTGGCCCCAAATGTACACCAATATTCAAAATTACATCCAGAAGTGTGAACAATGTCAGCAAAGAGGAAAGAAAAGAATCATCAGACAGTTACACCCAATCCCTATAACTGCGCCCTTCCACCAAGTTGGTATTGATTTTGTTAGCCTGCTCCCACAAACCCCAAAACTAAAACGATATATTTTGGTTGCCGTAGATTACATGACGAAATTGCCAGAGGCCATGGCCATGGAAAAAGCCGATGTGATAACTGTCGCGGACTTTTTGTATAATGAAATAGTGTGTCGGCATGGCTGCCCCGAACGTATCCTCTCAGACCGAGGCATCCACTTCAACAATAATATGATCAAAGCATTTATGGAAAAGTTTACCATTAACCATAAACTTTCAACGCACTACCACCCACAAACCAATAGTTTGGTAAAGCGTTTCAACCGAACACTGTGTGAAGCCATAGCTAAATTAGTTGAAAATGTTCCCGACTGAGATTTGTTAATTCCTTCTATTCTTTTTGCATACCGCACTGCTAAAAATTCTTCAACAAAAATGTCACCTTTCTATCTTGTATATGGCCGGGAGGCCTGGCAATCTATACATCCCAATAATACCGAAGAACTATTGGAAGGGACCATCCTTCAAAGAACCTATAAACTGATAGAATAGCTTCCACAAATTAGAAATACGGTATTGGAAAATATTCAGCAAACTCAAGAATGACAAAAACATTACCATGATACTCACTATAAATTAGCCCCAGATTCGAAATTGGAGAAAAAGTGTGGATGTACAAAGCTTCTACAGAACACTCTAAAAGCAATAAATTTGGACCAAAGTGGCTTGGCCCATTTTATAAACATGATTGGCTCCCCAGCAACGTTTACAAGCTACGAACCACCAAGGGGAAGGTGCTAGCTACCTCTATTAACACTAAAAACCTAAAAAATGTTATAATTAAAAAAAAAAAAAAAAAATTTTGCATATATTAACCATTTCATTTATTTTATCTGCAAAATTAAGGTAGCTATGATAACAGTTCAAGGATCTCACGTTGTGATTAGGCTCCATGGATGCAATAGCAATGCAAGGATCTTATG